ATCCTGAAAAGTTTGTCCAGTCAGCAATGAACTTGCCCAGAAATATTCCTACTTAGTGGTATTTCTTGACCATTGGAAACTTTTCTGAGGGTAAATCGACTCCAGCTCAGTGCAACTTAAACTCTAGGCATGATGTTTACTGGGTGTCCCCTGGTTGGGTGGAGACTTTGGAACCTCAGAGCCTTTCCAGATATATAGAGCCAAGTGAGCTTATGGGGTGCCTTGTTCTTCCCCTGCTCCTTTGCAGAAGCTATTTTGTGGATGCCTGTAATTTTGTGTGTGTGTGTCACAAGGATGAGGGGGGCAAGTGGATAGGGAAAATGACAAAGGTGGGGAAACAAGTGATGAACTATTGGTGTATATATATATATATTATTTTATTTTATTTATTTATTTTTATTTTTATTTTTTAAAGATCAGCCAAACATGGTTTTAACTGATAGTTAAAGAATGTTTTTCTGGAGGGTCACCCTTATAAATCAGAAAAGCCATGGCTGGTAATCTCCTAAGGTACTGAGGAGTCTGTTGAGACGTTCCTAAGAGTCATGTGGAATATCTGAACACCTTAGGACCCAATAATATGCTCTTTTACTAAAAGTCAGTAAAACTAACCAACCTGGAAATGCTCCCCTTGGTGGAGGGGATATTTAAAAGTCCCTCCAAAGCTGCTGTTAGCTTTTCCTATTTGGTATTCACTGACTTAAAAATTGTTCAGGCAGTGCTGTGCTGGAGCTGACTCATGCTGTATTGGAGCCAACTTATACTGGCTCTTGAAAACATTTTGTTGTGTTTTCAGCTGGTTGACATTAAGTCAGTAGCTTGAAATTGGCTGAGATGAGAGTATTTACACCATAGAAATTGGTAGGTGCTAAAAATCTGGGTTCCTACTGTTTTCCAGAGCCAGTTGTTAAACATTTGGCAGCACACCAAAGAGCTAAAACGGTCTGAGAATCACACAGAAGAAGAATCAAAGGAATCCTTTGGTATCACTGTTATCTAAAGCCTTTCTATGTGCACAGCCATAGAAAGAAGTCTGGCCAAAGCTTCATTAGGATGGTGGTGCATTATCCAACAGAGGCGGGTACAAGGCTGCTAGTAATAGCTGACCTACCCCTCTTATACGGGTTAGTCTTAGAACTGGAGTCTCTTGAATTTCCTTTATTGATTAGTTTCATTTTAGCCTGAATAGCTTTGTGTTTTGGATATCACCTGAGGTTGATAAATCAGACCCCTTAGAAAAATATTTTAGGCTCGAATGACTTCCAAATGGAATCTGCATGACTATTTAAGTTCCCTGCTTCTCAATCTCACCAGTTCCAAAGACAAGTGGCCTGAGATCTGTCTCTTAGTTTGAAATGTAAAGAGGGAAATATGAAGAGCTGGACTTGAGATAAAGTGTGTATTAAAGCTACGCTCTCCATCCTTGTCTTGGGCTTTGTATCCCTTCTGACTAAACTGATCAGTTACTATTTGCTTATAAATTAGCAGCTGGTCTATTCAGCTGAAATAGTTGAATTGCTGAATCACTAAGATTGTGTCTATATTGCCATTTACCATGATAACTTCAAGGAACATGTGAAACCAATGGCACAAGGAGGGATAAACATTTAGCTACTTCGTTCAAAATGGTATAGATAACTCCTGATGTAAATATTATTTGTTTTCAAATGCTGGCCACATGAATCACCCGGGAATCTTTGTAAGCTGGACTTATCCCAGGATGTTATGAATCAAAGATCTGGAGTGGGGAGCAATAGTTGTATTTTGAAGTGTTGCTTATTTCATACAGCTGTGTTTGCTGGGGATCAGCTGCATAATCCGAGTCCTAACCCCAGAACCCCATGGTTACCTTAAACTGAAGTCAGTTAATCTGCAGCAGCTCTTCACTGTGACGCCACTGTCATCAACAACAAGAGAATAGGCTTCATTGAGGAACATCTATTCAAACACATATGTCTTCAATCATAAATCATCACAATAAAAATAAATTTTCAGAAATACTGCGTAATACAACAATATGTAATACAATAATGACTTCTAAAATGTTTCCTATTTCAAATGTTGTATCTATGTGGCAAAGCAATCGGAGCGTGAGCGAGGCATAATGAGTCATTTTGGTGCTCGGTACCAACTGATCTGTGGCCTTGATTAATTAGGCCACAGAGTCCAGACAGGTCAATCAGCTGGCCAAGATGCCCTCAATCCCCAGCACCCAGGGTGCTCCATCTGGGCTCTCAGCCACAAACACACAGCCCCTTTGTAAGCAAAATAACAGTTCTACACATTCAGGGAGAAGTAGAGGCTTAAATAGAAACTTTTGCCTACTGCATTCAAACAATTATGGGAAAAAAGGTTTTAAGAATCCAGAATTATACAGAAAATTGCTCAGTTTGTCATTTTGCACATGAAGACCCACAAAATTATTTGTATATATTCTTAGCATATTGAATCAAACACAATATTTCAAAGTCTGCTGTTGAGATTACCTATAAAATAGAAGGCATTTCTTAACTCAAGGGACCCCTGATGAAAGTTATATATATGGAGAAGTATACAACCATTTTCAGCCTTCAACTTCTAAATTATGCATACACGTTACTAAAACAAGGTTTTATTAAGATGAATAGCTTATTGGGTAAGATTCCAGCTGTCAAGCATGAACCACTAGTAACTAAATTGTTATTTACCAAATCATGATTTACCAAGAGAGCTTTCTTTCATGTCAGGGAGAAGGTAGGTGATAATCGGTGGACAGTTGTATACCCACACAAGCATTTCCCTTATTATTCTGTGTTGGGAAGTAATTTTTGGGAGGGGAGTACCTTTTCTCCTCTTTTATAGCCTTTCTCACTTACGTGCCCTGCAGATCCCAGACCAAAATCACTTTCTCTGTGAGCCCAGCTTCATTTAATGCTGATAAGGCCAAGACGTTGTAGAGGAGGAATCATAATTTCTCCGCTAATTGACTATGTCATCTGGGGCAAATCACCTAGCCTCTCTGTTTCTCCATTTTCTCATTTGCAAAGTCAAGAATCAGAACTGGAGAAGCTGTAGGCCTCTTCATTGCCAGTGTCCTAGCATTCTACAATGTTTTCCCTGCTTCCTTTGACTTCAGGTCAATACCGCTTAGTTGTCTGAGAGTGTCTAATAATTAGTGGCTTGACTCAAAGAAGAAGAAATGTTCTCTCATTCTTTGGCTTCCCCACCAAATTAGGTTTGTCTTGGCACTCACATTCATGGATAAGTAGTGGCTTGGGCGTAAGGAGGCTGGAGGCAGGGGCAGCGGTTCTTCCTTTGCACATCCTTGCTGGTAGCCCTATGGCCAGGTACCTGACATCAATGTCACAGACAGATGGCATAACAGTCATAGTCAGCACTGCCAGGCACGCAAAGCTACTAGACATACAGCACTTTTACAGTAAGACACTTACGACACAGACACAAGGTGGAGAAATGATAGACGTTTTAATATTCAAATATGGGAGAGATTTTTGGGGCATGGAAGGAATTCTTGACACCACCATTTAACCCTGTCTCCCTTGGATCTGTGTCTGCATATGACACTCAGAATAAACAATGAAAACCTAGGGTCTAGCATCAAGCAGGTTGCCAAATGTTTGTGATTATTTCCCCTTTCTGCAACTTAATTGGTTATCTGTGTTGGTGTTGGGGTAGAGAGCCTTGGGGGCTTTATGGTAAAATGTATTCCAATAGTTGGAGTGGGACTCTCCTGTGAGTATCAAAAAAAAAGGGAGAGGCTCTGACAAAAGGATATAATTAGTCTAGAACCAACAAATCCAGGTCAATGCAAAAGCCAGGGCATGTATCTGTAGCTGACTGAGGAGGAAAGAGCCAATGGTCCTGAGCTGATTACTGCTCAGTTCACTGCACTTGACTACACAAGCCTGGGAGCTGCAGGACAGCCAGCTGCCTTTCTAATCAGGAAACTTGGAGCACACAAACTTTTTTGGTCATAAAAATGGTTGTATAGATTTGAAACAGTCTTTAAAAACAAATAGATTTTGCATGATCAGCTAGAAGCTGCTATTCTTCAAAAGAGAAGGGTGATCTATTGGGATCACTTCCAGGAAGTCCTCCTTAAAAGCAGAGATGAGCCTGAGCTCTAAAGCCCTCAATTTCCGAAGAGAAGTCCATTTCCTCACTATTTTGAGTTTTCATTAAAGTGACAGATGACATGGTGGAGGAGGATGGGAAGGTCCTTCTACTCTAAGGTTAAGATGGAGCCAAGAATGCAGTGAGATTTTAAAAATCTCTCTGAACTTAAAAAAAAATCCTTGGCATTATGATGAGATAAAATGTATAGTCTACTACAGAACAATAAACTGTTTTTAGAGATTATGGTCTTTTCCTCTTTTAACCTGCTTTTGTTTAAAGTGTCTATGCATTTATATTTAGTGAAAATGAATGGGCACACTGGGATTAAAACTCCAGAGTCAGAATCTGGCCCATGTACTATTGGCATTAATATCACTTTGCTGTAACCAAATGAACTAAGAGCACAGGTACAGCCAACTAAACACTTCTGTCAGCAATCTCTCAGTGATCCCAACAGTGCAGTGTGAGGATAGTACAGTCCTCTTCCAAGGGACATAGAACAGGGGCTGGGTACAGTGGTTCATGCCTGTAATCCCAGCACTTTGGGAGGCCAAGGCGGGTGGATTGCTTGAGGTCAGGAGTTCAAGACAAGCCTGACCAACATGGTGAAACCCCATGTATACTAAAAATACAAAAATTAGCCGGGTGTGGTGGCAGGCGCCTGTAATCCCAGCTGCATGGGAGGCTGAAGCAGGAGAATCACTGGAACCTGGGAGGCAGATGTTGCAGTGAGCTGAGGTCGTGCCACTGCACCCCAGTCTGGGCAACAGAGTAAGACTTCATCCCAAACAGAACAAAAACAAAACAAAAAAACCCAAAGGGACAGGGAACAAACATGGTGTGGTTGTGATACCCATTAAATTATACCACTGAATTAAAAATGCTTTTAATATCTCCTCTTATAATTATATGGTAATGTGTGCCACAGTTGGTAACACATTTGAACTTGGTGTTGATTTCGTTAGTTAATATCTGGATCTATGCAAGCTGCTCTAATTAGATTCCTTTCTGAAAAGAACAATAAGGCAGTGTTAGGATCAGGCAGAACGTGAGCATAAGGGTGGTGTCTTTCTTTACCATATTTGGTTTAATTTTAGGCATGATCATACCTTCCTAAAAAGGGGCAATGAGCTGATTACTGAACTGCAGCACATTTTAAAAACAGTTATTTGTTGCATTGCAAGCAAGCTAGATTTCAGGAAAAGAATGAGCTGCCCCACTCAAATTCGTAACAAATATGCTTGACTGGCATTTGGAAAGAAGAAAGAAATTCTTATTAAAATTTAACATCAACTTGGCCAGACTTTGGGCTGAACTGGAAGAACAAAGTGCTGCTCAGTAAAAAGCCAGGAATGGGAATGATTTGATTTCTACTCATAAGGCTGAAATAAAGAAAATGAGAATGGCCAGCGACTTCCTTCATGGCACATCTACATAATCTTGGATTCCAACTCTTGCCACTGCACAATGGCTTTTTCTTTTGAAATGCTTAATTTGTAGGTGTATAGCTCTGACTTCAGTGGAAAGAGGAAATATCCAGTGCTACAATGTTCTCAAAGAGAACCAATGGTTCTGGATTGGTGGTTGTGCACACAATGATATGGAAAATGATTGCACCTCAGCACTATTCACATGGGTGCCTGGCCTGGCCAAGCTCCTCCTCCACTTTCTCCCAGCTGGAATGGGTAACATGGTTACCACACTAATTTAGGGTACACCAGATTCCATAACAACTTCTAAGTATTCTTCTTTTTTCTTTATGTGTCCCAGGGTCTTAAGCTGATTCATTGCCTCTATATTCTGGGACAAGACCCAGCCCAGTGCATGGGTTGGGATCATGGGAGGCACTAAATTTAGGCTGGAATGGCCTTGAGATGTGGCCACAGTGCTATCATTTGCCATAATAATGCCTAAGTCAAGAGATGCAATGCCACCCATGACCTAGCCTTTCTTTGATGATCATGAAAGATGCACTGCCTTATATCCCACTCACCACAGAGGGACTACACTGCTGTAGAACGACTGAATGGACTAGTGAGGACTGCATCAGAGGCATTTTTAAAAAAAGGAATTACAAGGGGGTCCATCATGATTTGCTCATTTTGTCATGAAACATCAAAGTTACCCAGAACCTTAAACACATCAAATACAAATGCAACACATACAAGCAAAGCGAATTCAATAGGATTCCTAGCAAATTATTAAATTCCATGGTGGTAGGGCAGGGAGTGGTTGCAGAGAGAGAGAGAGAGAGAGAGAGAGAGGATGATGATAGAGATAGAGATAGGGAGATAGATAGAAGATGAGATATGCAAACCAGTTTTTTACATTTCCATTTTTCACAGTCTGATCCCACCAGGAAAACAGATACTGCCCCAGTTGGCCAGAGGCCTCTGATTATGAGGACTGTATCTGAGCAGAGCTGCAGAAACTATAGCTCTGGTCCTCATAAAAATGAGAGGCAGTTTATTATTAAAATCTAAACATGAAAATACTTCAAACCATTTCATTAGCAGCATAGTTCCAAATGCAACAATCTCTTTATCAATCAAGTCTAAACCACTGTGGCTTCAATGCACGTCCTGCTAAATCTGCTAAAACTCTTAAAAGAGCAGTGCAAAAGAGAAAAGACATCTTTCCCTTTAAATGGCAGACAATCCTTATAAAACATTCTCTAGGGTTCTATTCTGAAGACTATTCAATTTGATTTGGGGCACTTTTTAAACAGCCATTTGGCACTTTCCGTTCGGAGTTCTTAGGCACAGTGTGACAGAGTCAGCTTGGTGAGCCCTTCCCCATGCATTCGGTACAGCAGCTGAAACTCAGCAGGCAGCTGGTGGGACTCCTGCCACTTGGTGGTAAATTTGGTTCCTTTTTTGTCATAGTAATGGTATGGAAGATCTTCCCTCGTGTTGGGGTCAAATCCAAAAGGCCAAAATCCATACAAGTGGATCTCTTCACATATTGCTGACGCAAGGGTGTACATAAGAATACCTGTGCTCAGTCGTTTAGGTGACAAATGTTTGTTTTTCCAGTACCTGTGGAACAATAAGTACATGTGGATTCAGAGGTCAGCGTTGAAGGTTTCAATCAGCAAGGTCAATCTGACTGGGTTGGGTAGTGGATTTGTCAGTGTAACTTTTAAATAGTACTTGCTGTGAAATCATCTTTTAGGCGACCAAAACAAACAAACAAAAAAACCAAACCTCTGGGCACAACTGGCTACATAATTTGTGAGATCCAGTAAGAAATAAAAATGTGGATTCTTGATTCAAAAAGCATAGTGCAAGAGCAAAGTATTAAACCAAGTGTCAGGTCCTTCTGAGCATGGGATTTCCTGGAATCACACTTTTTACACACCTTTGAAGCTGGACCTTGGAGATGCCCCTGCCCCTGGGATTCTCTAAAGAGTAGTGTGGCTCTGACTCAGTGGTAACACAACAGAAGACCACCAAAAAGAATGATTGTACCTTTCTTACATAAAAGGCTCTTGGATAGGGTGAAGGAGGTTGTTTAATCTAAGGGGAACTCCTCTGTCCCTTCCTTTCTCAAACCTAGAACTAAATCCTTCATTGAGGGTTTAGGAAGACTGTGGAGCTTTATTTTTCTTCACTGTCTTGTAAAAGATTGTATTCCTTGCTTCGTCTTCTAACTAGGGGTCCCCAAGCCCATCTTCAGCATGTTACAATCTGACATGTTAAATTTTTTAAATTCAGAAAGTGTGTAAGAAGTATTAAATGTAAATAATAAATTATAGTTGTTATTCCTTCCATATTTAAATAGTGTTAATACTCTGAAGCCTTCCTGCTGATACTGCCAAATATGTGAGGCTTCTACGTGTTGTGTGTGAGATGCAGGCAGATTTAAACTATTCATGAGTCCAGTTTTCTATGGACTGTATTTCCTTCCAGTTTTCATTGACCCCACGTATTTTGTTGAAGCCTGAGTAGCTATGAAATATGATTAACTCCACTTTTGTGGCAAGCAGTCACACAGGCTAGTTTCTGAAAGTTTCTCAGCACATGTAGTTCCTTCTTCATGACTTGAAGGTTTCAAAGGTGAACCTTTCTCCTTCCAGATGAAATTTAAAAGTTCAGTCTTGGTTTTAATATTCCTGTCTAAGGAGTTAGAATGACTCTGACAATGCTTTTGGTTGTCTCCTACCAACCTGTCCCATGGATAAATAACTTCTTTGGGTAAATAACTTCTGCTTTGGGTAAATAACTTCTGCTCCTTGTACCTCAGTTGACTCATCTTTAAACTTAGGAGCTGGGCTATATTACCACTTAAAAAGGTGACCATATACACTGGAGAACTGGAACAATCCCATTTTGTCAGTTATCTGTGTTTAATTATTAATAGCATCCTCTTTCTCTTAAAGAAAAAGTTCCAGTTTGGACTGTAAATTATGGCATCACTCTACCGTTGAGATACACACCAGTTTATTAGACTATAATTCCTCCTCCTATGAGAGGTTAAAGAAACAGATCTTACACATGGTGAACTTTAGGAGACTACAGGATGGGAATAAACATTTTGTGGAATAAAGATCTTCAGAATTCCCTGTTTACCAGGTTTCCCAGAACCACACTGAAACTTGTAATAAAATCTGGGGCTATGTTAGGACACTGAAGCTCCTTACATAGGGGAAACTGAAGTTGAATTAATTTTCTCCAGATAAGTTAAAGGGAAAAAAAGTTCTACAAATAGTCTTGTTTTATAAAATGCCCTGGACTAGTGCTTCTCAATTCTTACTACCCATTGGAATCTTCAGGGCAGTTGTTAAAAATACCAAGTACCTGGTCTCCACTTCCTTACCCACCAGATGAATTACATTAGGATCTCCTGAGGCAGAGCACAGACAATAGTATTTCTAATGCTCTCAAGTGATTCTAACGTACAACCAGAGTTGAAAATCACAAGACTAGATGAAAATATTGCATCCCTGCCTGATTTGGCTATCAAATTCGAAGAGATAACAACATGCTCATAAAATACTTTTTTTTTTCATGTTTTTGCACTCAAGTATCAGATTATAAAGGTAGATTGTGCAATTTATGATTTACCTAGGCGGTTTGCTAACCTTGGACATCTACAAAAGACATAAATTTAAGTCAACTGCATCGTTTCTAAAAAAACCACTTGATTTGTCTCTAGCCATTGGCATTTTTGGAATATAGCTATCTATTTAAAGAAAATTCTTGATTTGTGGTGATTTTCATGACTGCTCCATAGCCTTACTACCAAGGGAGAGGACAAAGAATAGAGACAAGAGACTCATGAAGTACCAGTGCTTCCATTTGACACTTGGTTACCAGCTGTGGGTAGATGGAACTTCTTAGCTGGAATGATTCATTCATTCACTCATTACAAAGGACATGAGTTTCTCCTAACTACTAACTAACCATAACAACTGAAGAATTGGATGGCTCCCACCCCCAAGAGATTACAACATTGATTTGCCATCTGGTAGGGTATGAGTAAAATGCAATAAAATATACACACCTGTTGACATGTTGCATTATATTTCCCGGCCAAGCCAATTGGACTTTTAACTGACCTCTGTGTTCAACAAAAAAGTCAACTAATGTCCTGGTCACAGTTGCTGAAGTGTGGAAGAAAAATGCAGGGATCCAAAGAATGGCCCCATCAAGCTTTTTTAAACTGAGGAAAAAGTTGTTACGATCCTGAATAGTCAAGAGATTGTTGTAATATTTTTCCAGGATGCTGGGGTTGAAGGTGGTAAGGTTGGTTTTTCTTCCAACATCTCTTTGGAAAGCCTCCGTAGGGGCAAAATTGCAACGGAAAACAAAATCTGATTTATCTATTTCTTGTCCACACTGGCTCCCTGTCAGGATCCCACTATTTCCAACCACAGCACAAATATTATAATGCTTGTTCATAATGGGTGACACATCTGGAAGCAGTGACCGGAAGTTATTGCTAATAGAGAAAACATATTTATGGCTGGAATAATCATAGTGCATCAGTTGTCCAATCCGAACACTATTCTTGGTCAAAGAAAAATTTTTTATTACATCGACATGCTGAAGAATTTCTTGCCTAAAATAAAGAGAAATTCATTAAAAGCATTCCATTCAGAAGAATTGATTTTCCATCTTATGTCTTATGCTGCCTTTGCATTCAGAGGGAATCTTAGACTCAATGAATCCAAAAAAGATTATACATACATAATTGTGATCCTTGAAGGGAGGACTACTTTAGAATGTATACATATTCTAATCTTTCAGTCAATTTCTGGGTGTATTCTTTGAGGCTTATAAATGCAACTTTCAGTTTTAGCTGCCATACCTTGGTTTTCTACTCCACATGAAGAGTGTATCTTATTTAATCAGCAGGGAGGCATAGACCAAATTGTGTCAGAAAATATAGAGAGACAATTTACACAGGCCTGAAAGAGCTCACATTAATGCACAAACATTAGTAACATAGAGTTTGTAACTAGGTTCTACTTGTTTGTTACTGGGCTGCAGTGCTCAAAGAATATCAAATGTCATTGGTGTCCAAATAAAAGCCAAACAGATATGAGTCGGTATAGCACTATCTATTTTTAAAATATGAAGATGGTAATAGCAGTGGGTATAGCTGAATATTTAATAGAAATGAGATGATAATCTCATTAAGGTCCTTTGAATAATGAAACAGGGATTGTTTTCTACTTGATTATATAGAAACACAATTTAGTTGAAGAAATTTAATCCTTAGAAAACAAGGCTACTTATAAATCCTAAAAATATATCCATATTCTAACAATTAAGTACATAAACAAGACAAGACTGATACTTAGAACTAATCTCAAGTTGCTTTCGTATTGAGCTTTAAGTAAAATTAAGTACCTCTTCTTAAAGTTTCAGCTATTTATAATATTCAAGAGAGACCAGTAACAGGCTACTTTGCTGTTAGATTCTCTAATATTAAATAAACCCATTGAATTTCTTGAAACTTTTGCCTAAAATGTAGCAGGAATGAAATGAAATGCTTTGCATATCATCACATTGCCTGGAATTTTATTTTAAAAAATGACTTCATTCTTCAAAATATAGGCAACAGCAACTGAAATCTTTAAAACTCCCCAAGTTACCGGTACCATTCTTACAAGCTGTTAAAAAGGTAAGGCAGATTTTAAACACTACTTATAAAAATTTAATTAAAGATTATCGAATTAATTGAAATGAGGGAAGTTTTGAGAAGGAAATATTCTTCTGACTGGTCATTTGGATCAAATGGCCTAGTTGGGAAGAATATTTTTTATTATGTTAGAAATGTTTTAGGGAAAGCTAGAATATGTTCTCCCCATGAAAATTTTCTGGGTTGTCCATAAAATTAATATTGAATTAAAACCCTCCCAATTATTAAAAAAAAACCACAGCACTTCTAGAGTTTTAGATTGATTGACTTTCATGAACTAATTTATAATTAAAGTGTTTTTAAAATGTTCATCATAATCATATGACTGTATGTTGACTTTTAAACTAAACAATATTTTCATGATACCATGAATATCCACTGCATTTTTAAAAATTCTGCCCATAGATTAAACTTTTAAAAGCAAGAGAGAGCAATCACTAGAAATGCTATGACCAAAACACAACTCCCTAAATAGAGTGGTTCGTAAAATAAGTATTCACACTTCTAATGAATACACTAGATGGCTCACATCCCATTTAGCAGTACAATCCCACCATGAAGGAAGGAGTAATGAGTTATCGTGGTTTGCTAAGAGTAGACCAGAATCACTGAGTAGAATAAATATATTTGAGCAAATCTCATCCTTCTTCCTTCCACCTAAAAAAACAAAAAACAAAACCAGTAACCAAAAACCGTCTTACGTGTATAAAGTGAAGCTGCTACAACTAGTATGAATTAAGTTAGGTAGCTTTACAGTAAGTTTAAAGCTGTAAAGACAATGAAAACAGGCAAAACCTAAACAAAACCAGTTAAATACATATATTTGGGCCAGCCTTTTTACCAGCAATTTGATGGAGACAGATTATGGCATTTTCCGTGTTTCTGTGAAACAATACCATTTTATTCTTTTTTTCAAGTTTTTTTCTTTTTCAGTGAGGGAATGAAAATGTGTTGGGTGGTCTTTTTGCAACTAACCTTTTGTCTGTTTGTAAGAAATAGATGGCTTTGGCGGTACTTGCAAGACTTGTTAGCTGTAAATCATGGTGCTCAATCAAGCCCAAATGAAGCACCTTTTTTTTCTTTTCAAATTGGCCCTCCTGATGTGTCCTTTTTATGAGAGGGCACTACATGCACAGGGGAGGGTTCCTGATCATTGCTTTGTGCAGTCAGGCCAAGAAAACAACGCAGATACACCTGGTGGTGAGGGTGGGAGGTGTAGATGTTTGTTGTTTTAGATGTTTTTGTTCGCTTTTGTTTTGTTTTGAGCTCCAGAATTCTTAAAAGCACCTTTTTAGATCTTTTCCGCCTATCCTACCTTTGATGCAAAAACGCTGTCCGATTAAATGTCCACTTAGAAGGTTTCTCTTGGAGTTCCTGGGTGAGAGAATTCGTAATGGGCACAAATGACGGGTCTAGAAACTTCAGCGCAAATTGTGACCTGGAGAGGGGCATGAGCACAGACAAGCGTGCTGGCCTCAGCTCTGGGAAGCCGAGGTAGCCATTAAAGTCCAGCGGCCGGGGCGGGGGCGGCTGGCACGGGCGCGGGCTCCGTTCCATCCCGGAACCCCTCTCATTTGGTCCACCCTGTGCTCCCACACACGCCCAGGATAAAGAAAGAAAACTAGGGAACCCCGTCTCCATTGTCCATCCCTCCGGGTGCCAGAGAGACCATAAAATGGCCGTCATGCGGAGAACAGGGCGCACGCCAGGCGCAGGCGGCGCAGAGAAGACCAGGGAGTCAGCACCGCGGACAGCGGCCGCCCCTCCAGCCAGACCCGCGACGCCCCCGCAGCCTCAGAGAATTGATTTTGGGGGAAAGGGCAGAGGAAACCGGAGGCCCAGGGCACTGCCGGGGGTGGCTCCTGCCTTAACCTCTTCCTTCCCGAGCCCACGTCCGATTTTACTTCCGATATAACTTGGCAGGGGACCCCCGGGGGCCGCCGGCCAACTCCGCTCCTCCGCCGAGGCGGGGCTCCTCTGGGTTCCGCGCCTTGGTCCCGCCTGGGACCACAGGTGGCACTTTGGAGTTGCCACCTGCCGGTCAGGAGGCCCCGCTGGGAGAGTTCCCGGGGTCACAGGTAGGGGCGGGGGCTCTCCCAGAGCTGCATCAAGCTGTGCCTGGAGCCTTCCCAGACCGGCCCTCAGCCCGGCAGCGACTCCGACCTGGAGAGGGTGGGCGGCCCTTCCGAGGCTCGCTTCCCGCAGGGGGCGGGGGAATTGCAGCAATCCCGGAAAGGGGGGTGGGCGGTGGCAGCGGGGGAAAGGGTCGAGGGAGAACGCCCCATGGGCTTCCTGAGAATAAACCCGCGCAACGTTTGATAGCGGTGGGGGAGGAGAGGAGGAGGGCGCGAGGGGAGTCCGGCGCCTGCGCCATTAAACCGCCCGCACCGCCCCGGGCCCGGCCCCGGCCCGCGGAGTCTGCGGACAGGGCGCCGGGAGGGCGCTCCCCTCACGCCTGTCCACCTCGGCTCGCCGCCCCCTCCCGAACACACACACGCTTTCCCTCCACCCTCACCCTTCTGAAAGCCTCCCCCAACCCCCACTTCTGAAATGAGGGAAAGGATGCCGAGGAAGAATACGAGAAATGCAATCACATCGATTAGGACAACAGCTTCCAGGGGCTTTGGATTTAAAAAAAAAAAAAAAAAGGGAGGGGGAAGGGAGAATTAGAGAGAGGAGTGGAAGGACCGCGCAGTTATCTGGCCCAAAGAGTCTCGGAGAAGCAAAAACACCCCTCCTCCAGGCCTCCCCTTCCCCAAACACCGTATCAACCAAATTCCCGAGGGCGCTCGTACAGAGGCCCGCACTCACCGGAATCCCGCGTGGAACATGTACATTCGGGGCGCCCCCGGGCTGGCGTACTTGGGAGTGGTGAAGATGTTCTCCTTTTTCAGAGACACGTAGCTGATGAGAGATAAAATCAGCAGGGCGACGCTGAGCATGACCAGCCCCAGCACACTGGCGACCCGGGCCATTTTGCAGTTTCTCATCCCGGGCTGGGTTGGGTTCAGGGAAACCGGGGAAATCGGTCCATTGAGCGGCCAGCAGCTCGCTGGCGTGTGTGTGTGTGTGTGTGTGTGTGTGTGTGCGCGCGCGCGCGCGCGGCGTGTGAGCGCGTGTGGCGGAGGAGGGGGACCCGGACGGTGGGGGGGAGCGGCAAGGGCCGGGGGTGGGGGCAGGCAGGAGCCCTGGAGAGGAACGGGACCCCCTAGACAGGGGCGCCCGGGGCCGAGCTCAGAGCAGGAAGATGGAGGGGCTGCGCGGCGGCGTGGCGATGGAGCGCGCAGCGCCGTGCGTCCCCGGCCGCCAGCTCAGGCTCCCCCGCGCGTTTCCAGAGAGGCTGCCATCTCCGCCGCCGCCTGCAAGATAAATGTGATTGGAATAATGTTACAGTTCGATCTAAGCACAGGATTTAATTAATGAACTCTAATCTCCCAAATAACCGGGGGGAGGGGGTGCTGGAGAGGGAGGGAGGAGGGGGAGGGAGTGGAGGGAGGAGGACTGAGGCTGCTAGGCTGCAGCCCGCGCCTACGGCCTCCCCGGCTGAGGGTACCGGCGAGGAGGTGGCTGTGGGGAACCAGGCGCCCAAACTTAGTTTAATGGACCATTCATTACTTTATAATATGACGGAATAGAGAGACAAATAACCGGATTTGCCGTCCTGAAGGACAAACAACAGCTGGGTGCTTCTCAGAGAAGCAGAGATAACGGTTTTTGAAAGGCAGCTGTTTAAAAGCATCTCCCCTCATCAAGGCACGGCCCCGCCCTCCGTCCCACCTTCACCCTCCCACCCCAAAGGAATCTTCAAACAGTGACTGGGACTGCCTGCCTTGGGAGCCCTTAAAACCTTCTTGGAATTAGTGAGAATGACTCCCCTGTCCACCTTTGATGCCCATCACATACTTCACTTATGCCTAAAGGGAGGATAGTGCCTAGTAAAGCTGCCAGGTGGCCTGTGAGTGGGAGGGCCTGCCTTCCTCTCTCCCTTTTCATCTCCCAGTGGATGGACAACGTGCTTGGCCCGAACTTGACCGAGTCTGGTGGAGTCAGCCCTGCTTTAACTCTCCAACGCCCATTTTTCAGACCCATCCCTGGGGCCAGGCCTCCTGATGGGCTAGGTGGCTTGAGCCTCCCAGAACCTGAGGCCATTAAAAATACACAGAATCCTTTTATGAAGGAGCCCAAGAACCAAATGAGAGAGGCTGCCTCTGAGGGTGGAAGGAAAACACACTGCCTGACACTTTGCTTTGCTTGACCCTAAATTTGTTTTAGCTTATTCACCTGATTCTTGTTTTAATATCCATTAGAAATACAAATTAATCCATTTTTTCAGTCACGCAATTGGGTGCTCAGGGGAAACTCACATGTTTCTTTAGCTCTGCCCTTTGCAATTATTATTATTATTTGTTTAATGGCCTCTGCCACCCTAGCTTTACTCTTGGCTTGGTCCTCCAAATGCTGGTCAATAGGCACTAGTGAAGAAAGCTGGAGGTGAGAAATTGGCCTTTGAGTTCTGATAAAGTAAGTAGAGATTTTTCCAAGGTGGTTATGACTTCCTTCTCTCCTGAACTTCTTGGCCTGCGGGCTTTGGTAGATCTAATATTATGATCTGTCTGGGAGCTGTAGATTCCTTGAAGGGATGAGCTCCTGGGTTCTAAGCTTCTGCAGAGTAAGGGGCGTCTTCCTTCCCCAATATGGTTCCTTACACACGTCGTGCTTGCTTAACGTTTGAAGACTTGATGAGCTCTCTTGGGTAACATATCTATGTGGTTGCGGACAGTGGCACACAGAATGCTCCCATTTGTTTCCGATGACAAAGGGGGTCACTTTGCACCCTCTAGAGACTTTTTAACCAAAATGTAAAAATGTGGATCAGGAGGACACAACCTCCTTTCCCCTATTGGGCTTTTTTATTATTTAAAAAATTTCAGAAAAGTCTTGCATGCCCAAATATGATGAACACTTGAACTGTTTTTTGAATTGCTATTTTTTTAAGGAAAAAAAAAGAGAAAGATTGTACTAGTAAAGTGTAAAATGCCAAAGGGAGTAAGAGAGTCATCTAGGAATGACACCTGTTAGAAAAAGTCTTCTTGAACAGGAAGTCAGGGGAACATGCTACGGAGAGGCAGCCCAGGTTGGTGTTACACCTTCAGGCTCTGGAGCCAGAAAGACCTGACTTCAAAAGCATACTCTGGATATTATCAAAAACACAAAAAATAACAAATGCTGGCAAGGATGAAGAGACAAGGGAACTCTTATACACTGTTGGTGGGAATACATACTAGCACTGCCACTATGGAGAACAGTACAGAGGGACCTGAAAAAACCACAAATTGAACTATCATAAGATTCAGTAATCCCATTACTGGGCATTTATGCAAAGGATGGAAATTAGTATGTCAAAGATATCTACCACCATGTTTATTGCCACACTATTCACAATAGCCAAGATATGGACCAACCCAAGTATTCAACAGCAGATGAATGGATAAAGAAAATGTGGTATATATACATAGTGGAATCCCATTCATCCATAAGTAAAAATGAAATTCTGTCATTCTCGGCAACATGAATGAGCTTGGAGGACATCATGTTAAGTGAAATAAGCCAGGAACAGAAAGTTAAACACCGCATGTTCTCACTCATACACATAAGCTAAAAAAGCTGATCTCAAAGAAGTAAAAAGTAAAACAGAATACTAAAGGCTGGGAAGGGTAGGGGGAAGATAGGCTAAAATATTTATTAAAGGATGCAAAATTACAGCTGGATAGAAGGTATAAGTTCTAGTGTTCTATAGCACTGTTGGATGCTATAGTTACCAGTAATGTATTATATATTTTCATAAACCTAGAAAAGAGGATATTGAATGGCCCCCAAACAAAGAAATTATACAAATTTGAGTGACAAATATGTTAATTAGCTTGATCAGATCCCTATATATTGTATGTATCAAAATATTACTATGTATCTATAAACATGTATAATTATTATGTATCAATTAAAATAAATGCTTACAGCCAGGTGACCTTGAGTAGGTTAGAGCTTCTCTATGTTTCAGTCTCTTCATCTGCAGAACTGGGGTAAAAATCTCTCTGGGTTTGGGGAAAGATTAAACAACGCATATAAAGTCTTTTGCACCGTGGTCTGTATTAAGCAGTTAATAAATATGAGCTCACAGTTTGGGTAAGTTTTTAGTGTCCTTTTCTCTGACCCTGCAAATGTCCTGCTACAGAGTGCATGGGAAAGGATGTACTTGGGTGAGATATTTTCTTGCAGAGAATAGTAAAGATCAAGAAACTCTTCAGTTTCCTTTATAAAACAGCATTACCGGCTTTCCTGAGACATCTGATATGGGATCGCTCTGCCTGGATTTAAAAATTGATGTATTACTTAATGCTTAGCACATCTCTGTGCACCTTCTCAAGAAAGTCCTAGGAGGATGATTTTCATGTTGCATACAGGCCATTGAAGATCACATGACATAAAGGGACCAAATTAGCCAGAAAATAAATAGGCAGGCAGGTAGGCAGGCATCCTTATTACATGTGCCAGCCTTATGGGTGAAAACAGACTGCTCAATAATTATCAGGGGAATAATTTTGGTGGCGATGCTTCAAGAAAACAGCTGTAGCTCCTGGATAAGGGATTTTTCAGGCCTGGGATTGTAGCTATTTAATAAGTTAAAAAATAATTAGGACAATTTTACAAAATATTACTTATCAAATTTCATTGGAAATCAACCCTGTGCAAGAGTATAGGAGAGTGAAAGTAAGAAGTACAGAAATGAAAAATCCCCCAGATTTAATGTTTTCTAGGAGAGTGTTATTCTAGACATAGGAACTTACTTCCCTTCTTCCATTCTCATGAGTGTCTACCTTTGGCAAACATGACTCTGCTCCCTGGGTAGCCCCTCACCAACCCATACTGACCAACAGCAATTTTCAGGAACCATTTAGGTGGGAAGGCCAGAAAGGGTGGTGTCTTTTGTTAGAAACAGCATTGTTCCTTTGGGGCTGAGGTGGGCAAATCACTTGAATTCAGGAGTTTGAGGCCAGCCTAGCCAACACGATGGAACCCTGTCTCTACTAAAAATACAAAAATTAGCTGGGTGTGTGGCAGGCACCTGTAATCCCAGCTACTCGGGAAGCCGAAGAAGGAGAATCATTTGAACTGGAGGGTGGAGGTTGCAGTGAGCCGAGATCGCACCACTGCACTCCCATCTGGGTGATAGAATGAGGCTGTCTCAAGCAAAACAAAACAAAAAACTCAGCATTGTTTATTCACTCATTTATTTCTGTTTTCTTTAAGCATTCATGAAAGGAAATGTGTTGGTTATCAGACACCATGCTTGGCAGACTCAGGGGTCATAAAATCATTCTTGACCCCATGATGCTTATGGTCTTGTCTGGGAGAAGGATGTAAATGTAACAGAGGTACTATGTGAAAAGCTCCACACCAGAGGATTGCTGAGGAAACTGGGCAATATGCACTGTCTGGGAGGTTAGCAGAGTTCTTCATAGGGGGCAACATTTGAGCTGGATTTTAAAGCATGAGTAGGATTCATTAGGTACAGAAGTCTAGAAAGGTTGTTCCAAGTAGGGGGAAGACTACAAGGCAGGAAAGCTTATGCTGGGCTTGGGGAATAGCAAGAGGTAGGAGGTAACTGCCGCAAGAGAAGAGCCTAGAAGGCTAGTTGGAGTCAGATGGGGATGGGCCTGTGGGACATGATAAGAAGTTGGTCAGGATCCTCTTACTGCACTGCTCAGAACCATCCGTAGTTCACAGGGAGGAATGGCTCAATGTGATTTGCACTGAATGGATGTCAAAGCAGCTGGAGTCAGGCCCATGGGGAGGTGAGATGCCAGCTGCCCCTGCAGATGTCAGCTGATACGCCTCATGGCCCTCCAGCCTGTCCACGTGCTAGAAGTCCCAGTGTGCCTTAATTTATCAATGAACCAATTGGCCATTTTATGTTATGAGACACCCCCTGAATAAGGCATCAGGGAGTTGACTTTCAGGAGGGCAAGTGGTGCCTCCCATACAGCACGGAGATCATCCTGTGGTGAACTCAGAGGGAGTCCACTGAGGAGCTGCTTTTTGGCCACACGTGACCAGAGTCCTTTCTGCCTCCTGTCGCCTAACACCTTGGTTTCTAATAAGTCTAACAGCGAGCTCAGAGGAATAATCTTGGAGTCTTCTGGTTTTTTTTTACCTATTTCCCTACAGAAGATAAGCACTCTATGAATTCAGTGGTGGGTAAAGTCACTGTGGTCAGAGAAAGTGTCACAAAAGCTCTCAGATGAAACAGAGGCATGAAAGTTTCCAGAGATGGAGATAGAAAGAGAGGATGGGGCGGGCAGGGGCAACTGAACTAAACAAAGATGTGGGCAGAAGAGGGCAAGACTTGACAGGAGTCAGTAAATAGATCAACCCCTTTGGAGTAAAGTCAAACAGCCAAGACGTGTAGGGCATTTAGAGGCTGGGGCATTGTAGATATTCTCTGTAATCTTCACCCCACTCCTATGAGGAAAATATAAAATTATTCTCACTTTATAGTTAAAGAAATTGAATTAAAAGAGGTTAAGGACTTGCTCAAGGTAAAGCCCCTCTGGCTGGAAAGTCCACCCTTTCCACTAATCCACTCTGCATGCAAGTGAGTCCCAGGACAGAGAGCTGGAGATGTGTGCAGCCGGGGGAGGTGGAAACAATCATGTTTTGGTGATGAGAACTACCATTGCTTCTACTGACAATGACAACGATGACATCATCTAACACTTACTGTTCACATGCTATGTGTTGAGTATAACGCTGGGCACTTTACATAACTGATCTCATTCAATCTTCCCCTGAGGATTTAATGACCACCACCATTTCAAGAGTTCAGAAACAGGCTCCGCAAGGTTGATTTTGTCAAGGCCATCTTGCTAGTATGTTCCAGTAGAGGATTTGGCCTCAGTGTGTTCCACTGGTACTCCAGAGCCTGTAGGAAGAGGGGCTTCACCTTTCTCAGGGTTCCTGAGAAAGGGAGGGCATGTTGGCAAGGGTTGAGGGGTGGGGGCAAACAAGGAGAGGACCAGAGTGGCACATAAGAAATGCAGAAGCCTCCTCCAGGGCCTGGAGAAAGCTGAGTAGGGCAGGAGCCTGGGAAGGGAGGGAGGGCTAGCCATGCTGTGCAGACAGCCCTGAGACAGCCTCTTATTTTCATTGTATGCTTTCAGTGCCAGCACAGCACCCACCTGGTGCCCAGTGTGAAAAGAAGTCAGGAAAGTTTGCTGTCTGGCATCCCTGAGGCTTAGGCCAGGGAAAAGATCAGCATCCAGTACCGATGGTGGAGAAAGATCTGCTCCAGTGGGATGGATGAGCTAACTCGCTTATTGAAGAGGCCATTAAGTTAGATTAATATTAATACATGCACATAGTACAAAATATAAAGCCTAGGAAAGATGTACCATGAACAGTCAAACTCCCTCCCGCCGTTCTCTCAGGGCCTCAGTTACCCTCCCAGAAGCCGCTGCTGCTGCTGTCCGGAGATGATCTATGCATCAGCTACTAAGCATATGAGTAGGTATTCATTTTTAAACATAAATGCTGAGACCGGTTTAAAATGATATTTACTTCAGGAGCTTTTTTTTCCCCTATATCTCTACAAAAGACATTTTGCACAGCATTTTAACATTTCAGATGTTTGCACTGATTGCATTTTCTAGAAGCTGGGGAATTACTCATTTTGCGCCTACAGATGAATGCTTCTCTTAAAGCTCAGTGAAGTGTCTGTATGTGAAAAGAATATGGAAACTTCAGTCTTTTTCTTCATTGACTAAATAAAATATATTTGGAAAGCCATCTTAAAGCTTAAGGCTTTTTGCAGCCTGGTCTCCAGGAAATGGTTTCAAAGGAGCTATTATGCTCAATTGTGTTAATCTTCCAGACCCTTGCATAGAATTTTGACTTTTCAAATGTTAGTAGCGATTACTTTTTCTAGAAGCTAAGGTATTATACTTGGAGAAGCTACTTGAAAAATAATCTCACAGTTTAGTTTTAAGCTGTTGTGT